ATCTGTTATGGCCACATTTAAGGCTTAAGTTCGGTGATAAAACAAGGTCAAAAAATTTGGAACTAAAACAGTTTATTGATATCTAATGCCACCTTTAGATATTTCTATTCAATGTTTTACTAATGTGCCACAAGAATGTATTTTTATTACATTTTTTTGGTTAATATATCTTCATTTGGGAGCTTTTCCAAGCAAATATATGTGATTTTGCTCTTAAATCAGCTGTTTTTTCCTACTACCCCTCAGTTTCCATATCATCCTCTTGCCACCCCATGAATATTCCTCTAGATCTGTATTATTATTATTATTATTATTATTGTTAATTAATTAATTAATTTATTCAGAGATATAAACAACTAAAACGTTCAGCACTGTGGTGTTACATGTTTATGAACTTTTTAGGACATGATGAAACTAAATGCAAAATGCCATGGGCAATTTCAGTGATTGCGACTTCGTTAGTGCTGTTTTCCCTTAATACGAGAGGGCAGCGAGGGTATTGTGGCTACTGTGAACACAATACTGTGCCGTATAATTAAACAGTATGACAGAGACAGGAGAGCAGTGGGAAGGTGACCTGGGTGTAGTTGAAGGATGGTGGAAGAAGAAGGTAAAAGGAGAGAGAAGAGAGCATCAGGTGTATTTAGTTCCTCCCCTGCTGCATCTCTAATCTGTCATTTTGCTGCTGGCAGAAAGCTCAGGTGCTTTGCTGTCAACAGGGGCATTTGTGGTCAGATGGCTGTTTGCTGCCAGACCTCTGATTCATCCAGGGCTAAGCCTACGGCCCCCTGGGTATTTTTAGTCAGGTGTGTGCATTGCATTGACAGGGGTCACTCATTTGGTCTTGAACCACTTGGGAGGAGTGTCGGTTCCAGTCAGTATGTGGCCAAAAATCTCTCTCTTTGCTTTATCTCAGTTCATCTCACTTTCTACTTTTACACAACCAGTAATGAAAAAGCAGAATTGTTTGGGAAAAGGACCTCAATGTCGAAAGATGTTTGCCTCTGGTGTAACAGCAAAATATGATTATCTATTTAGTATTTACTTTCCACTCATACTAAGGCTTTCGTGTGTGTGATTGTATTCCTGTGTCCTCCTGAGTAATGGGACCATCAAGAGTTCTAACTGATGCAGACACTCATTATCTACATTAACAGAGACACAGCAGGAATGTATTTTTTAACACTGTTATCCTAAAAATATTACTTATTCAATAGCAGCAAGACATATTGAACCACTGGTGCCTTACCATGAGTAAGCATTGATTGCAAAATACTTTGTGTGTGTGAAGACTTACTGTAGTCTTAACTGTGTTTAGTTGTAAGAATATATGTAACAGCACATTGTGTCGCACAGATTTGAAACACGCTCAAAAAAATCTTCCTTTGTTGCAGTTAGCACTGATTGTGTTTCTCCTCTCACTTCTGTGAAGCTGAGGGTGATTCAGCCCAAATAGTGAGAAGTTGGTGGGAGTGGGGATACTATATTGATAAATAGAGTGCCAAGGAGAGAAGGGAATATAAGATAATACAAATGGAATAAATGGAGGAGAAAAGAGTGCCAGAGGAGGTGTAGTATCTTCTTCAGGGCTAAGCTGTTTAATTAACGCTGCTATACTCACCACTTCCAATCTCAAGAGCGATTTCTGTTTCTCTTCCTGTTTCTCTCTTACTACACCCACTCCTTCTGTAACTCTACCCCTTTCTCCCTCACTTCACTTGCTTTCACTTCAGTCTCAATGTTTATCTTTTAATTAAAAATAGATTATGAACAGATTCCTGCAGCAACCATGACATTGTCACAACAACAACAACAGACGGTTCAATATCATGCTAATTGATGATCGAATCAATACATTTATGAAAGGACATCAATGTGCAGCTTTTCTTCCTCACTGTGAATGTTCCTCTTCATTGAAGTTGGGTTGTCCCTGAACATTTTTTCATTCACTTTGGGAATTACTTTTTATTAACAACTGCTCTTTCCTTTTGCCCTCTTCTTGCTCTCTACTTTTCTATCTACTCTGGTCTCTTTTCTTTTTCACTTCTCCCTCCCTCTGTCTCTTTCCACCCCACTAACACCTCCCTCCGCCTGGCTCTTCTCTGTCCATCTCAGAGAGGAAGGGAAGAGGAGGTGAGAATGAGAGTCTGGCAGGAGGTTCTCCCAGTGCACCCAGGACATGTGGGCAAAATCACACTATTTGCCATGCATGATATATTACTTTCTGGTTTTAAAACTACCCACTAAAATACCAGCGCTGTTAAACTAGGGCTGATCTGTTTAAATGTCAGTAAGCATAGATGTTTATATATTACATAATAGGGAAACATTTTTAATGAGAAAAATTGTGCCAAGTTGCAAAATGTTTCATTGTTATTTCCTGCTCTTGTCTGCGTATAGTAACTAAAGCATTATTACTAATGTCACAGCATGTAATTACAGTAAGGGAAAGATTATGGTCATGGAAAAAATAAGGGGAAAAAGGCCACATTCTGTCACAGCTGGTTATGCAGGGCAACTGAAATAGGACACAAACGCAGCCAGAAGAGGCTGCAGGATGACTTCAGTGATAGCTACAGTAGGCAGACCTAGACAGATAACAGCAGATCCAAACAGCCAAAATCACACAGCAAAGGCAAACAAAGCAACTAGGATGAACTGACAGAGTACTGGTGGAAATTAACCAGTGTATGTACTATTGGGCTGATTAGGGGAAGTGGGAAGAGGCGGGCGGGGAAGGGCAGGTGAGTAGGCCTAGCAGGAAAAAGTATTTTTGCAGGGCAGATGAGAGAAGGTGGAAAAGTTTGACGGCATCTGGTGGATGAGAGGAGAATGGCAATGATGCATGGGAATGAGGAAGAGAGAGATGACTGAAGGGAGGAACAGAGAGGAAAAATGAGCCAAAACAGGACTGTGACAGATACTGTGACATTCTTTTCCTAACCTTAACTACAATGTTGAACATAATCCTTGTAACAACTATGTTCTTCTCAAAACTCAACTGGCAAAACACATATCTAGAAGCCAGAGTTGTTATTATATATATGCAGAATATATATAATAATATATAGAGTCTGCTCCTTCCAATATTTACAAGAGGTGTCACCTAATGTTTTAAATTGAAGTTATTTAGTGACACTTTGTACAGGAAATCCTGAGTAGCTACTAAGGAATAAATCATTCAAGATTACACATAGAGTTTACTACTTTTCTAAGATGTAAAGGTTAACAGATAGGTGCTTTATTGATTAGTTGGGCATTAATAGTTGGATAGCATGCAAAACTGAGAATTAAAGGTGTCAGAGAAGGTAGAGGGAGGATGAGACTGAGACAAAGAGACAGTAGATGAATTGGTCATCTGAAGGGCAGGAAAAATGCAGAAAATGTCACCATCAAGTTGCTCCTGTCTGCTGAGAAAGGAAAACATCTCCACGTGATTTAGTAGGAGCTTGGACAAACATTAGTCAAAGCTTTTTCCATTTTCTCAGCTTGTTTTTACAATCAGCACTTATTCAGACGCTATTATTTTTTAACCAAAGGGTGTATTTACTTACTAGAATTCCAGTTATTCAGCAAAAAGTACTTCTCTGTCTTTGTCTCTGACGCAAAAAGAAATGCTCTCACACAACACTTTCCCTGTATGTCTCTCTGTGTGTGTGTTACAGTAATAATCTGCTTGCTTTTGTAAAGCCGTTAGATCCAAACTTTACATCTATTCACACTCACATTCCTGCTAGTGTGTTTAGGATTAGTTTTGTGTGTGTGTGTGTGTGTGTGTGTGTGATGTTAGAAGATGGCAGTGATTAATTGCATGGAAGGGTGCGAACAAGCATTGTTTAATTAAATCCTCTGATAATGTCAAAGTTTATGTTTCCTGGGAGACAAGAGGTTGGGCCTTCTGTATCCCCTCAGCTATTACCCACTATTAATCATAGCATGTGTGTATGTGTGTGGGTGGTAGAAGATGTAATTCTTCTTACAGCTCCTCGGGGTAAATAAGAATCAAAGGGCAATTCTGGTGTAATGGAAATTTTCTTAAAATGTTTTCAGAAGCACAGTGTTAACATGTCACATTAGACGTTGCTCCTTTCATAGCACTTTATCAGTCAGGCACCCAGAGCTATTTTATAGTCTTGGTCCATTGCAGTCCTGCCTTTCAGAATAGGTTGTGATATGAGTATCAATTTTATAAAATAAGTGCTTGATCAGGTGTGACATTACCGGCTCTCTGCCAGCAAATTTGTTTCTGTTTGTTGACTGAATGTATAGTAGTATATTAGTAGTATTAGTAGTAGTATAAGTATACCTTACCAGAACATTAACACTAAAAATGTCCATAAAATAAAAACACACTACCTATGTAACAGCTTTTCTTAGTTCTGTCGACTAATACTCTTTACCCTTGTATTCACCTCCTACAGCTCCAAGTTAGACATATTGATTCTTCTTACATGTGTGAAAACAAAGCGTATGGATTTGTTGAGTACTAAATAACAGCACAGAGATACCTGGATATCAGTGTTGTTCATTGGAGGTATTATTTCATATGAGTGAGAAATCTAAACAGGCTACAGGAAGGACTTTTAAAAGTTGCATTAAAGAAGCTTAGCGTTGTTTGTTAATTACATTACACAATTACAATTAAAGTCATTCATTTCTGTTTAAAAAGAAGAAAAAAAAATTGATGTCAATTGTCTCACTTCATGTTTATTCCCAAAACAGCTGAAAACTATGATAAAAATGATTATAAAACTGATGGGATTTTTTTTCTACACAAAAACTGTTAACATTGTGTTGACAAGTACATTTTCCCTAATCCCCTATGCTGAGGTGTCTAATTTGAATTTCTCATACGGGGGATCAATACAGGAACATCTTATCTTACAGTTTGTTTCTACATGAACAAAAACAGACTGCGAATACACCCCAACACTCTGGATCTCTGCTTGTACATCAGCCTTTATTAATCCTAAATTTCTCCACTCCTCTGCTCTGCTAAGGGTATCACCACAGCCTCCCCTCCTCTCCCTACACCTCTACGGCTGGACCGGATGGTCAGAGGTTACCTCCGTCTGGCACCCTCTCCTCTGAATACCTGAACCAGGGCAGCTCCACCAAGGTCCTCCTCCTCATCTGCAACACAGCAGGATCTGGCCAGCAGGCTGTCCGGTGAGCTGCAGATTGATTTTTAAGTTGTTGTTGTTGATTTAGTTTTTATTGAGCATATGTCGTGTGTATTGTGTTTATTCAGCTGTAGAGTTAAAGCTTCATCTTGTGAATTGGTTTTGTTAAGCACACAGCAGCAGAGTCAGGTATCTTTGATTTCTTTTATGAGATTGCTTTTGAGGGTAAGCTTACATTTGTGAAGCAGCTGCAGAGACATCTTTCCTCCTGTTCTGCTGTGGCTACAGTCTTAAATCAAATACCTCATTTATTCTTTTCCCCTTGCATCGTCCAATGGTGTCTCAATTTCAACATCCAATTTTTGTTCAACTTTGCCCTACATATCTATTGCACGAATGCCTCAGACTAGGCTGGTTTTATTTAGCTCCCGTTCAGCTATAGCTTAAAGCTGACAATGTAGAAACCCCAGATAGCGATCAGTTGCCATATGTTACTCTAACAAGGGTGGACAGCATCATTAAGTTGCTTAGATTAGAAGCAACTTAGAAGTTACCTAGAATGCATCTGATGTACAACAATAACACAGTTGGACACAACAGTATAAGCAGCCGTAATCCAGCTACAGCTGGATCTTTTTGTTTGTTGCTCGCAGGTGATCTGTGTTGTTTTGTTCGGGGATAAAAGTCCCACAGGGGCTGAACAGCATTGCCAATCAGAAAAGAAAATGCTCTGATCACATCTACCCCCTAATGACATTGTCACTGTAGGCAACATCACAAATATTAAAAGGATCCAGACACTTATAAATATTTCAGTCTGGTTAGAACTGTGGAAGGATTTATGCAGCCAATCCAAGTTAATGTGTGATTATTTTGCAGCTACTTTAAAGATTAATCCACTACACTACAAAGGATCATAGCTAAAGCGGGGCAGATGTGTGATTGTCCGGTTGAGCTTCCACTGATCCCAGTGAAATACTTTATATTGATGAACACAGTGGAAAACTTGCCAGCACATCTTGATTATTCCTAGTGAGAATTACATGATATTTGATTACATTTTTAATACAGTTAAATAGAAAACTGGTGGCTCTTTAGTTAAGGATAATGTATCACCAAACCTTTTGTCTGGCAAACACCAGCATAATTAAATCAGTGGTGTAATGGTGTCCTTCAGTAGATGAATTAAAGACTCATAAATGGCAGTGAATAACCTGAGGGGAGGGGTACATTTCAGTTAACATACTGTGGACTCACGTAGGGTCTACCGTCCTGTTTTGATGTTCATGTTGTGTATGACAGTTTATCCAGTCTTTGATTTTGCATTAAAGTGAATTTTTAAACTGCTGGAAAGGTTTTACTTGGTGCACACTGACTGGGTCACACACAGACACATTGATGATGCACACACACATTTAAGTCACTGTAATGTTCATAAACCCATCATGAGACATTGTGTGCTTTGTAACACAGAGCATTATTCTGGGTGTGTTCATTTGACCATGGGTAGACAGCGATCCTCTCATACTAAGGGGCTTATTGTGTATAAAGTAATATTCCCATTGTTAGTGCTTTTAAATTATAAGTCAGGTTCCATTTGCCTAGAGGGATCAACAAAGCCTAACCTGTTATTGACACGAGAGGATATTTTTCTTTAGTCATTAAGTTTCAATCATGATCTTTTTGCTCTTAGTGAAGCTCAGCTTGGTTCTTGCTGAGTACACAGTGTTCATGTTTATATGCTCATAAATCCAAGATGGAAACAGATAACAGACACTCCTAATAATGGCCTAATAATGTCAGGATGTGACATTTGAGAACTCATCTGTCCATATGCCATAGGGCTCATGTGCTCGTGTACATTGCAGTACACATCTGAGTTTATTCTATGTACTGTAGCCATCCATCACCGAAATTAAAGGACAGGTCTTAGTCTATTGCACCACTTTCGGTACAGCTACTATAGAATTTTAATTAATCAAATGAATTGTGAATGAATGAATAAACATGGCCAAAAGTATTTGGACACCTACACCTCCTCCACTCTTCTGGGATGGTTTTCCACAAGATTTTGCAGGGATTTTCTCCCATTTAGCCACAAGAGCATGGCTCACAGTTAGCGTTCTAACTGATCCCAAAGGTGTTTGACAAGGTTAAGGTCAGGGTCTTCTTTGATTTCAAACTTGGAAAACCATATTATTACAGACCTTGCTTTGTGTACAGGGTCACTGTCATGTTGAAAAAGTAAAGGTCCTTCTCCCAAGTGTTGCCAGAAAGTAAGAAGCACAGTATTGTTTCATGTATCACAGTATGCTGTAGCATTAAGATGTACCTTAGCTAAAACTTATAGAGCTCGCCAAACTATTGGAATGATTATACTGAGAGACAACAAACAACGGCAGCACAAACTGCAGCTTCCAAAAAAAACATTAAATTGGATCGAAACTCCTCTAAAACATTCAAACTTTCATGGAGGTAGGATTAATTGCAGGATGTTGTTTCATACTACTGTACATTAGTTTTAACGAGCCTCAAGTTAATTTTATTTATTTTATCTGACTCCACATAATGTTGCTTCAGGCTTTCAGTACAGGACACAAGGCACTGACAGTAAAGCCTTGATGCATTTGACACCTGACAGCTTGACAGATGTGGTGATGACACAATAGGTTGCAGTGACCTNNCACTTTCCATGAGCCCAACCTTCGTGGGAATTCATTTCTGATGTGTTGGGCTGTGGGTGATTTGCTAAGTTAATCAATCTAAAAAAAGAAATGCTGAAGAATTTATTTATTTTTACAGTACATCAGAAATACTGCAAGTAAATTACCTTTTGTATAAACTGGGATCCATTGATGAAAACAACTGAGTAATATGTAAACTTGGATATATTGCAGCAGCACCTGTCTTTATATATGCTATAGCACTTGTTCTTGCACTTTGTCATTCTTTTTTACTAACCCTCCCTCTCCTCTCCTCTCTTCTCTCGCTCTCCTCTTCCCCTCTCCTCTTCCTCTCCTGTCTCTTCTCTCAAGGTTTTGGACCTCATTCTTCTCATGCGGTTGAGGACAGGGAGCATCTCCCTGGAACCAGTTTGCAGGGCAGAGCATCCTCAGCAAGCTCTATTATTTGATGCTGAATGGATCTCAGGCTCAGGTAATGCCTGCACATCCAATAACCAATAACATGTCACCCACTCTATTCTGTGCCCTAGACCCTTCTGCTCAGGGACCTTCTTTACTCCAGTGGACCAAATTAAAAAAGCAGCATACAGCAGAGATTAGTTAGAAGTTTAATCAATTGTCATTAAGGTTGGATTCTGTCTTTGAATTAAATAGTTTCCATTGTCTGTTTACAGTTGACTGAGTCACATTGGAAGCTATTATTATTATTAAAAATTGAGACAGAAATTGAACCACTTAACAGTGTTATTAAAGTCTGATGCTTTGATATTTGTCATGATTTTGATGATGCTTTTTGAAAAGAGCTAATTGCTTTGCTGAGACTACAAATAGTTTTTCTGCTTAGCAAGCTGAGTGAATAATTGTTGAAGTTGTATATTGGACCATAGTAACTACAGTATTGTACCGGCTCCTATCAATTGAACGTAGTGTGCTGTAAAATCAAAATTTTTTCTTCAAAACCTTTCAAACCCACAAAGGACTGATGTTTTATACAGATGTCAAAATAGTTAGTGGTCACACCTGATTAATACAATTTAAATTTAGTTGTTCTATTATGAGTTTAGCAATCTCCTGCTCTATTGCATCGAAATCTTGTTCTTCATTCGTCCTTCATTCAAAGACAAGAAAAATTTAATTTGCAATCCCGGAAATTGCTTTTAATCAAAGAAATCCTTCATATCAACCATATTAGAAAGGAGTGCACCTGAGGACATTATATTCTCTCTTTCTCTCTCTCTCCTCTCTCTCTCTCTCTCTCTCTCACACAACAACACACGACACACACACACACACAGACTCCAAGCCCAATAACACAAATCCTCATTTTTACCAGTATATAAGAAGGTCTGTATTTGAGTGAAAATAAAAATTACATTGTATTCATTTGAATATATACTATTACTGCTACAGTGGACACATTACTGCTAAAGTCCTGAATTAAGATGTACATGATACATCCTGTCATTCTGAAGAGTTTGTTTGATGGACAGCCAGTCTTGCATGTTAAAATCAACCTCTACTCTGACCTCTCCTCCGTTTAGTATGTACAGCAGGCTTTGACGATGATCCCTGACAAGCACATCTCCACTTCAGCTTCATCTGTTTCTCCATATAGACAGTTCAGGTGATCTGTACGCCACAAGCCCTAAACCAAAGCTCCACTCTCAAATACACACACGCACCCACACTGTCCCCACGGCTGGTCATCGGGTTGCCATGGGCAACACCATGGTGACAGGCAATATTTGAGGTGGCCTTATCCAGAGTGAACAGCTCTCAGCTTTATAAGAAAAGAACTGAAGAGGAGGAGAAAGAGAAATACCAGCCTGTTATTTACTGATCTCTATCTCCGTGTCTTACATCCTTAAAGCCTATCTGGCTGGTTGCAACCTCGTTTGCCCTTTTTTTCTTAATAAAAACAAGGTTCACCAGGATCTTTAAGTTGTACAGATATTTTTAGTTAAAAAAGCCTCTAATATCCCCAGAGTGTAAGGCTTCATATTTTTGCTGATGCTTTGTTTTAAAAGGAAAAATTAAAAAAATAAGAGCAGTGATCTTTTTTAAAAATAAGAAGGCGACTTGTGATCTTACTGTTATCACTGTGTAGTATAGACACCTGCAATAAACATAACAATGCTGTTTATATTCTTTATTTCTTTGTCAGGCAGCAAGTGTATGAGTACTTTGCTGCCATTCATTTGGTGCCCTGCTTCTTTATTATGAAGTGTTTTGGTGCCACCCAGAGGTTTGTTTAGCAAGATACAACTTTTAGTTCAGGGTATAAAAAAAAAACTTGGTTACTTGTTTGTCGAAATCCAGCTCTTTTTTCCCAGCCATTATATTTTGTAAAGAAAAGATAGTACATTTGAATGTAAGTGTTAATATGAGTGTTAATTGTGTGTATGGTCTGTGCCAAATGGCCGGTCAAGTAATTTTAGATCTAGACGAGAGGTTTAAAAGTTGGATGAAAGGTAAAGTTTGCTGTTAATGTGTTAGAAAACTTCCATTTATGCTTTTCATCACCAAGCCACAGTCAAATAATGGCTGTAATGAAGAGTTGAAATATTTCACCAGAATGTTCCCCCTTCAACCCTTGTAATATTCAAGTTATAGTGGCTTTTCTTCTTCAGGGTATTAGCTGTTCTTCATTTTAATCAAAATCATCTCAGAAGTGCCTCTTGCCTTTACTATTAATGTTAAAATTAATAAATGGATGAAAACCAATGCCTTAGCTTTTCTTAATTCTGTTTTAATGCATAACATAGTGAAGCCCTCTCAAAGTTTATGATAAAGTTTTGTATTATATATTATATATATGCAAGAAAGTTTGTGTTTTTTATTCTGACACCTCCTGAAGTTGTGTGTACATTACCTCTGAAATAAATATATAAAATGTACTTGTCATATGTACTAAAGGAGTCTAACTCTGACAAAAAAAAAGAGTACATTGCAGTTTTTGTAACAAAAACCAAACAGGCAAATTACAAATTTAAAAGGTATTTAAAATTTTCTCAGTTCTTTTACAGTTCTGGAAGATTTTGTTATATGTCGTTATTATATATATATAACTTATTGATCAAGAGCTCACCCAAAAGAGGATTAGTTCTGGGTCCCCAAAGTACCCAAATTCCAGATAAGATTGACAGCTAATTGACAGTTCTCCTATAAGGCAGCTTACAGATCTTTCTGTTGAAGCTTGTGAATGCTTAACTCTCCAGAGTTTATTTGAAAATGTCCCAAACTCGTGTATGATTACTTATTAGTGTGAAGTGTCTTGTCTGCTCTTCTTCATTATAGTTTGTTAGATGTAGAAGGCCATCTGACTGCATGCTTGCTCAGACCCTTAATACTGAATTTTTTTTTTCCATTGCAGCTTTAGGCTCCTATTAACCAACTAATTTATTTCTCTTTATGCTCAGCTGCAGTTCCTATTCTCCAACGGCAACCTGCTCAGAATGAATGCATTAGCAACCTGATTCTGCTCTCTGCTCCCTAATAACTCAGCCTCCTTCTCTTCTCTATAATCTCTAAATACATTTTTTTTATTTGAGTGAGGAGGCATCAAGACTAGTTGCCAAATATAAATGAGGGAGTTTGTGTGCTTTTTAACTGTTGTGATTATGTTATATATAGATTCTGCAGGTTTCAGCCTTAAATTAGAGAATTGTTGGGTTTACACAGCACTTCATTTCAAGAGTTGCTGAAGGTTTCTTGCAGGTGTTTCTAAATGACTTGTTTACATCCATACAGTTCATTCAGAGGCTTTATAGTACCAAAAGGCAATGCTTGTTTTTTCTTTCTCTCCATTCAAATGACAATTTTTTGTCAGATTGTTAAATATAAACAAGCTTTTCTGGCTATATTTACCATTTTTTAAAATTAAAATCATATATCCCCTGAATTTCAAACTTAAATGAATCTTTTAATATAATAGGTTGACATTGTTTTAAGTGGGGTGTGAGCTCTTTAGGGAGACAGCTGTACTACTGTAATGTGTATTTCTCTACCTGCAGAATGCCGGGGTGCTGTTTAAGGTCAGAGTGGTGGGGGTATCGGCAGTCTACAGCTACCTGTCCCCGCAGGACAGCAGACCACTGTACCATCCTGCAGTTGACAGGTAGGAAACACACACACACACACACACACACACACACACACACGTCAACAACAACA